TGTTGTTACCTCTCGAACATGTTCGAGTAACTGATGAAAACACCAGTAAGGATGTGATTGACATCGTAATGGAATGACATTCTCAAACAGTCCAATGATTGATTTGAGTTCATCTCTATATCGATTATTATGAATGTGCATAGCCAGACATAGATCTGTTTGTCCATTCGTTAATTTGAATAGAAAGAGAAAGTAAATAGCAAATGTGAGATGTTCCAGTGATATGTTGTTTGATGATGCATGTGTAAGAAAGTGATGTGAGAGATCTTGACCAAAATCAAAAGAAATAGATGTTCCACGACCACTTCGATGTTCACTGGTTAGACGATATCGATCAAATGGTAATGACAAAGGCTGATCAAGTTTACAATTATGAAGAGCATCAAGCCAAAACATACTTGCACCAGTCATTGCCATTTGTTGTTCGATAACAGCATCTACATAATTAAAGAAAATAAAGTATTAGCAAAGACAAAGGTACAAGAACTATTTATATTTACAATCGAGATAACGTAGATTAGTGTTATCATCATATAATAGTTGGCCTGTTGTATATGCTTGATTGAGGTCATGAAGAAAGATATTCATCGATGGAAAATCAAATAGAGCATGATGAAAGTTAAAGATAAGTAGATCTTTGTCAGAAAGAAGACGATTTGAAGAGATTTGTTTGTAGTAAACAAGGTGACATCGAAAGACAAGACCTTGAGCAAGATCAAAAAGTTGAGGATTACGTTTTTCATCATGTAAAATATCATTGAGTTGTTCATCTGTTTCATAAGTAGTTTCGATGATTGAAAACATATTATTATTATTATTTTTATCGTCATGAGTAATAACTCGTTGCAGAAGTTGATTCTTTTTTATATCAAAATGAAGTGATGTATGAAGTGAGAGATGTTTGTTAACAGTGAGATGAAGAGCATGATGAAGTTGTTTAATCGACAAAGTATGACCTGGTTGCAGACGATAAACAAAAGGCATATTGTAGATTGCTATTTGAGGTTGGTCAGAATCGAATCGATTTCTTTCGTCATGCCATATACGAGCTTGTGCAAATGATGCTGGTGCTATACCAAAAAAACTGATTAAAATCGAACTGGATTCACCAGTCAACAGATGTATCTTTAGAATTCATTTAGCTCATTATTCACTTGCTCTCTTTTTATTTAATTGTATGATTCAATTGATATTACTGTTTGAAACATTCATAATCTCTAGTAGTTAAAAGCATGAAAACGCATCATATGAATCTTTGAGCAGTTTTAGTTTTTCATTCTTTTAATTTCTTATAAAAGTTGTTTATATTCAGCATTAATACATGTTTTCTTTAAAAGGTGAATCGTGAAATTTTGTACAGAATATGTAATGAGTGTGTTATTTTAAAATTAGAAAAGTAAAAGGCTTCATGGGAAACTTCATCCTACGTTTTTGTACTTTTCATGTTTTAACGATGCTCTGTTGTAAAAATATTAACTATAAACATATGTATGTTCGACAGCAGATGAATCGTAAATATGACTGAGAGCGAGAGTTTTTTAAGCATCATAAAATGATAAATTTAACTTTCGGTCTCAGAAAGTCAAAGAACAAAAGAAAAGATTTGTTTTTGAAAAATGAAATTTTCGGGAATTTTTATGCAGTATTTCACTTTTGTATTCTGGAATAAAAGATTTACTACAATATTTACAGAAAATTTAACGATAAATTGTTCGAAAAACAATATATGTATTAATATTGAATATTAAAAAAAGTAATATTTAAAATACCATGGGATTAGAAATTAGTATGCACTTTTTATAATGTCTTAATAGTTCTCTATAATTAACTGCGTCGCTTATACTTTCTTATATGTACACCTTTTCAAATAAAAACTGACTGAAAAATGTACTGTAGTTTAAGGTAACTAATTTTCTAAAGTGCAAACACCAAATTAACTTTAAGTAAAATCTGTTTTTAATTCATTTTCATATTACTAAATAAAGTGAAAGATAAACAATCAATTAAATATTAATGTTGTGTTACAGATGTTGATTTTTACTTTCTCATGTATGACACTGAAGTTATCGAGACATCGAATATTTTTCTATTCATCATATTCTTATATTCATCGTCATATATTTAAAAAAATTTTCTAAAAAAAGTTAGTTTTCTTTAAAATCATAAATACAGGGTCGCCTAAAAAGCGTCAAGCTATAGTATAAACAAGCGATTTGCACTTGAACGGTGCCTAATTTTAATTAAAAAAGATAAGCTAGTGTTACTAAATTAAGTTGCTGTTTCAACTGGTGTTTACAAAAACAGAGTTGACCATAAAAAAGTATCAAGTAGCAGTGTTAATGATGATGATTGGTATAAGATAACAAAATTGTCATCGATATTGATACAACTCCTTGTCTTCTGAATTAAATCTGAATTTTATTATGTTAAAGAAATATTTCAAAAAATCTATCTAAAACTTAATAAACTAAACTATGTTACACTCAGTTGTCATATTATTCTTAGCATTCTAGTCGAAAACAATGATACCAAAAACTTATCTTCTTTTTAATCACAATTCTTATGCTTATTATTACTACTAAATTTCATATATCTATACTATATAATATCCTATCTCCGACAATTTTTGAAAATATTTGGCATTGAAGATTGATAAGACTTTTCCATATTATATATGTTTATTTTGTATTGAAAAACAGACTGACTTTATGATTCGTGAACTAATACAGGTGAATCGATACTCTTAACTTTGAAAATATAATATTTATATATATCACACATGTCTCTTTCATCTAACTGATCTATATCAATAAAAGTATCATATATATTGTTAGGGGGGTTTCGTCTCTCTTCTTTCTCTCTCTTCTTTATTCTA